ATGAGGCCCGAAACGTCAGCCTCTCTGCTCCTATGATGCTGCTTGGCCTGCTGTGTTCATCCAGCCCTGCACCTTGTTGTCTCGGATTCTCCAGCATCTGCAGTTCCTACTATCTCTGTGCAGATATTGTCTTTATGAGAAAAAAAATTAGTCAAAAAATTATTAATTCAGGGAGAAAAAAAACAATAAAATATGAAACGCTCCAGATGGCTTTTGGTCTGATGTCCTGGCACACAAACACAAGTCATTACACATATGCTGTTGTCACTAGGTCTCTTCAGAAGCAGCTTATTGAGGAGATGTCAAGAGAAAGTTTTCTAGAAGCTTCTTCGAAAATTGCCATAACCTTTTCTTTTCCAGTTGTCATACTGGTTTCTCAGAAGATTTTCTCAAGAAGTTGGCACAGTGCCTTCCTAAGTGAGTGCCTTCTAACTTACAGGAGGCCACATTCAAATGGAACTTCCAACAATATCAAATAACCACAACTCCTGACAGGAATAAGCTCAGGTTTGTGCCTTCCCATAAACAAGCCCAAGCAGTTAGCTTCAGGCATGTGTCTTTAAAAGTTTTTTTTTTAAATTAATGATGGAAGCATCTTCAAAACGAAGGCTATAATTAAAATAAAACCTGACTTTGAAGATTTAGAAACAAGAGAACAATTTTAACCTAATTCACTGGGTGGCAAACCTGTGGAATCAGGTGGAACACTCATTTCGCATTCTGCCCAATGGGGTCAATTTTAATCTAGCCTACTATTCAGGATAGCGGGTGCAACGTTGGTTTTAGATACTCTCCAGTTTTACTGCCCACTGAAGTTCCCAGCTGGCAAGCTGAGTTAAAATTGCCCATTGAGAAATTGGACATAAACACAGGCAACGGAAAGAACCATCCATCACAAACTTTTTTCAATAAGATATATTCCATTGGGAAGAAGCAATAAAACTGTCTGCTCTTCATTTTGAGAAAACTTGAAGGCTCCGTGATGACATGACAGGAATGAGGACAATGTGTGAAGTAGCTGTTCCCAAGACATAAGACAAAAAATCTGGAAGATCATCTAAGGTGTGAATGGAAGCATCTCGAGTTGGGACCTTGAAATTTTCCAATGCCAGGGTCCCAACCCCAGAGGGATTGCGTGTCTACTTATTCCATAACTCTTGTGAAAAAATTTTCACTGCATGATTCAGCTGGTGGAGTAAGATTCCAGAAGATGCTACCAGGAATCCAAGAATACAAATATTCATTCTATGATCTGTACTCCATGCAGAAGACCAGTCTTTTGAAAGCTAGTTCCACCACCAGAACACAGGGTGAAATGGCTGGGGCCATTATGATGGATGCAATTACCAGCCTGGACCTGCAGCAGGTAGTGAAGCAGCTAATAATATGGATAAACCTACAAGACCTTGTCCTTACAATTCACATGTCACAGATCCATCTTCCTGTGACAGTGTAGGTGGGAGTGACCATCAGACTCATTGTAAAAATGAAATAGCCTCTTCTCAACAGATCTAGCAGCTCAACATTGGGCATCCAGATTTTGTACAAGTTTAACCAGGCTGCATGCCAATATGCTTACCTTGTTCAAAATGTCTCGTTCTCTCACCAGTTCATCAATTGCTTTTTTGTCAAGCTCTGCCTGCCTTTTAGTAGACTCCAGTTCTGAAAAGTGTGAAGAGATTGAAGCCTTTACATTAGTTATTTTCAAATATTTCAAAAGGAGAATAAACCATTTCTTGTACTTTTAAAAAAGCAGGTAGCTGTACTTATACGTCCAAGATAAATATGTGATTCAAGTAAAGAAGAAGAATCTCGATTTCATTTGCGATATTATAGAAGGGGCTTCATCATTTCATGTATCCAAGCATAGCCTTATCAGTAATAGATATAGGTACACAAATATTATAAAAATTCTATGATAAAAGGATGGCTTCATATTCATTCAATCAGGGGTAAAGTTCTAATTTGTAACTCCAGGATTGTCATTACCAAGTAATGGCTTCCTTTGTGACTCAGTTCTATCTCCCAGGTCCCTTTTTTTAAACCTCTTCTCACTGCATATATTCTACTAGCCTAATTCAGGATCTTAGATCAGCAGTTGAAACTTGTGTTGAATTTGGGAATCAGAACCGAGACATTGGGCTGAATCATTCAGCAAAACAAAGTACAAGGCTTAGTGAGATTTCTCATCAAATGCGCCTTCAACTTTCATCTCCTGTAACACCTGCCTCTCTCACAGAAAACAGTCCACACTCGGGCAGAAAGTCTCACAGTGTGTGCTGGGCTGCCTGTCATTTGGCTCCTCACTCCTTACTAGGGGAGCTTGCTGACTCTGACCACCCCAAGTGGCTGATTGACCATGTTGAAGCCCCTAGATTGATATCAGAAGCATGGAATGATGGAAATTATATCAGCCTAATATCTCTGCCTGAGGTGGCAAAGCACAAAAACGGTATTGCAAGGCAGCTATGCTGTGAGCAACCTGGTAGGCTCAGAGTGAGTGTGCACTATGACAGCAAGCGAAGGGGCCCAGAGATACAGTCTGGTCCAGTCCAAGAGCTGGGTGTTTGTCCCTGATATCAAAGTGTCCTTGCTGCGAGAGTTGTGGGGGCAGTCCAAGTGCAGCATTGAAATGCAGAAATATCCTGTAAATGGATCATAGAATTCCTACAGTGTGGAAGAAGGCCATTCAGTCCATTGAGTCCATACAACCCTCAGAAGGGCATCCCACTCCCCTGCACCCCTGTAACCTTGCATTTCCCATGGCCTAACCACCTAATCTACATGTCTTTAGACATGTCGTGAGGCGTCTTAGAGGTTGACAGGTGCCAGACACCAAAGTCAACGGACATGGGATGTGCGTGGCTGGTTTCCATGAAGCATGCCCTGAAATGTCAGTGCCTGGTGTCCAACATGGAGTTCCTTAAAAGCCAGCAGTGAGCTGAACTCCCAAGTCCCCTCTTGAACTTCCATGTCCAGTTTCCTGATATCTAGCTGGGTTGGCACTTTCGTAAGATCGGAAACTGAACATGAATGAGGCAAGTTGTGGTGTTAATAAAGTGTTTAACAAGCAATAATCCCCTTAATCAGCAACTTTCTGCAGCCATGTGAGAAACTCTCCCCCCCCATTCAGCAAATGTATATAAGATTCAGCAAGACGGTGCCAACATCAAGTTAGGCCTCACTGGACTTCTCTTCCAATTCTGCCACAAATCGCATCATAGCCGATGTCACTCAAATTTCACCCATTGTCATGTATAACTGATTAGATGCAAAGGAGATTGGAGGGCACACAATCTCCAGAAACAATGCTAACATGCTTTGCATCCAGTTATTTCCACAATCCTAGTTGCAACTAAAGATACAGACACACCACATATATATCCTGATACGGAGTTTTCATAGAGCTTCCAGTGGAAAATCGGAACCCTTAAGGAAATTCAATACGCCAGGCATTAAGGAGGGGAAAAAAAAACTGTTATGTTAGCATTTTTTGTAAATCACGGTTTTACTGTAGAATGGCACTTCCATTGCTCTTCATAAGGCAACTCCCTAATTCTTAATTTTGTACAGATGGTACACCAAGAACCTGTTAGCCATGAAATGGTAGTGAAATATATAATCTAAACTGAATGTCATCTCTGAAATAACTCCACAGAGGCCGGTATTCCGTCACCAAGTCACCCTTTATTCACACGTGGAGAGTCCCTGATACTGATCCAGCTCCCTCAGAACCAGCTCTCAAAATGAATAGGATGTCTGACACTTATGTTTATCAGCCAGGGCTCCCTGATTGGACCAGATTAACAGCCCCAATCAGGGAACTCATATTCTATCATGTCCACCTGGCTGACCTCGTTACAATCACGACAATCTCTCCTGGTCGGTGCAAGTGATTTGTACCAATATAAAGAAATTGGTATTACAGGGTTATGCAAAAAGGTAACGTTCAATCAAAACTCACTGTAAATCTGAAGAAAACCAGTTTATCTTTCCGGCAAGAGCTGTTGTGAGTTGTGACATTTTGTTGATAAGTCAGAGGCTTTTTATAAGGGGACTAGCAACCTTTTGTCTCTCACCCACCAATGGAAGCATTCAGAGAAAGACAATTGAAGCAATGTGGTGGCCAGCAGAACAGCCATAAAGGTCATCTCAACAACTGTACGCAGGGACAAAGATGCCAAACTATCTTCCCCTCTATCCATACTATTTTTCGCCTGTCTCTTTGTCAATCTGTGTGTGTCTAAGGGGATGGGGTTATAAGTGCATTAATGTTTTAATTAGTAGTATTATATGTCAACAATTTGTAACTATTTCCCTGCAGTTAGAGTCTAATGGCTTGGAATAAATGATTACTCATGTTTAGCACAGAGACATGGTCCGTATTTTCAATTAGTCTGGGTTGGAAAGTCAGGTAAATTGGGGAATTATGTGTAATTCTTTATAAGTGAAATACTTTATAAAATCTTTAACTTTTGTGACGTCTAGGAATAGTGGAGCTTGATTTCCAACGTGCTCCCCCAGTAAGTTGACCACAGCAATTTTCAAATTTAAATATAGTAATTGTGGCCTTATGGTATGCATAGTGCTCCAGTTACCATTTTTGGACTCAAGTGAGAACACTTCATGCAATATCAATTGCCAGCACAGTGGAAGTACACCCAAACGGTTTGCTTGTGTTCTGCTCAGATGCCAGGAACAAGAGTCCTTTCCCAGATCCAAAAAGGCAGCTAGTGTCACAGTCTGAGTCTGCAGATGTCTGGGATCCCATTTTCCGACAGCACAGCCACAATCACTCCAACCCCGCCAAAAGAACATAAGAACTAAGAGCAGGAGTAGGCAAATCAGACCCTTGAACCTGCTCTGGTACTTGATACAATCATGGGATAACAAGGTGTAGAGCTGGATGAACACAGCAGGCCAAGCAGCATCAGAGGAGCAGGAAAGCTGACATTTCAGGCCTAGACCCTTCTTCAGAAATACAATCATGTCTGGTCCTCATCTCAGCCTCAACTCTACTTTCGTGTCTGCTCTCTATAACCTTCTGCCCATTACTAATTGAACATTTACCTACTTTCTCCTCAAATTTATTCAGCTACCAGCATCCATAGCACTCTGAGGCAGTGAATTTCACAGATTCACAACTCTTTGAGAGAAGTAATTTCTCTTCATCTTTGTTTTAACATTGAGCCCCTCTCCTCAAACCTACCATCCATGTATCGGGCTCCTTCAGGTATCTGAGATATTCCCATTGTACTAAAAATAAGTCAGACATACAAAAAAACACTGTGCATTATTGCTTCCTTATAGATGGTGTCAGAGTCTGAGTTTGTCAGGATCTGAAATGTGAATGTTAAGCGTTATCAAGTTGTAGCAAACATCCTGTCTCACAACCAAATGAAAATTGTGACAACTTGCCATCTCTATTTGCTAATCTTTAGAAACAAATACTCTTGTATAACTCTGGCTTTGTTACTTGCAGTAAAGGATTACTTATGCAATAATTGAAAGAGGATAGATGGACAGAGAGCTTTCTTTAAAATCATTCACAGCAAGACAGCATCATTAGCCACATTTATTGCCCATCCTTAATGATCCAGAGGGCAGTTAAGAGTCAACCACATTGCTATGGGTCTGGAGTCACATGCAGGCCAGACCAGGGAAGGATGGCAGATTTCCTTCCTTAAAGGATATTATTGAACTAAATGGGGTTTTCCTTAACAATTAACAATGGTTTCGTGGTCATTTTGTTGGATTCAAATGCTATGGTGAGATTCAAAACTGAGTACCCAGTATATTACCTGGGTCTCCAGGTAGGAAGAAATGCTATTTCCAAATTCAAGAGGGAGCAGGATAGCTTGTGGTAAATTAAATGATTGAGATGTAGGAGATAGTGTGTAGTGCTTTTAGACTATTGAGGTTGCAAATGTTATTTCATGTTTACTATGATAAAAGTACTTTATATTACAAGCTGTTACGACTGTGTTAAAAAGATCAATACAAATTGTCTCCTCACATTAACTTTTTTTTAACAAAGTATTTATTTTTTGCTCCTCTCCTATTTACTCTGTGCTCAGTAAGATGAGAGCTGTGCATGGAGAAATGGAACAATTAGCATTTCAGGTATTTTGTATCAGCGTCAAGGATACTGAGGGTCAGGAGTAGTATTGTTAGATGTTGCAAAAACTCATTCCAATCTGCCCCATTAAAGTATGTCAAGTTCAATGAAAGAAAAGTGCATTTGTGCTTCAGTGCAGTATTTCTGTTCCATTGCTCACCACCATCCATTTACAAACTTTTCTAAGTGACAAATTAGAGACAATTCAGTACACTGTAGCCACCATGAACTAGATTTAGGACTAGTAATGGTGGCTGAACAGAACAACTTTTCATTCCAATAGCCAAGCTCGAATAAGAAAGCAAATCCCAAAGTGTAAAAAGTGACTTCCAGTTTCATAAATGGCACTTGTGTTAGTGTTCTTCCTCGTAAACTGTCTGCCTCACAGCACTATTATTAAAAATAGACATTTGGAAATACGCTGGTAATGTTAAGGTGCAAGATTATAAATAGAAGTATTGAGCGCATATTTTTGTCTGGGATTATGGAAGCATAATGGCTTATTGATACTGTATCCTGAATAATAAGAAACAGATAACATCAAAGCTGCTGGGCAAACTTTCTAATTGGATTTGAAGAAGTATAATTCTGAATCATTTATCCCAGAATGTAAGAAAAAGTAAATTTTTTCTAAGAGATGACCTCTCATCATATCTTGCTGCTGAGCTATACTGACATACTCAAACAAGTAAACAATATTTTTTGATGGCTTAGCACATTAGACTGTGGATGAATGATCTGCATTTCTGGGAGCTCAGTATTCAGTGTTTGGCCTGTTTCGATTACCAATATTAAAAATATTGATCAGTAACAAGAAACGTCAGTAGCTACTTCTTAATCATCTGCCAGAGTTGCATTTGAAATAGTTCATTTCTAAGTCTCTCATTTGGATGCAGTAAATATTTTATTGGTGCTCCATCAACAAAGGTCTTGAAATATCTTAGTAAAGCGCAAGAATCCTGACCACTTGACTTTTTATACCTAAATCGAATAAATGACTTAGGAGTACCTTCTTAACCAAAGAACAAAAAGAATGCAGAACCTGCAACCACATGGAGTAGTTAAGGTGAATAGTTGAGTGAGCTTATTGGTTAGATATTACATGAGCATTACATGTGTTGTTATGGGTGAGATGATTTAATTTAGTAAGATCCAACAAGACTCGTACACAACAGAAAAACTCGAAACAGAAAATGTTCAGCAGGTCAGGCAGCATCTGTGCAGAGAGTAACAGAGTTAACGTTTTCTGCTTGATGGTTTTCCATCAGCACTGACTGGGAAAAGTTAGACATCATAGAATCAAAGAATCCCTACAGTGTGGAAGCAGGCCTTTCAGCCCATCGAGTCCACACCGATTCCCCCCAACCAGGTAACAGTTTTTAAATAGGTGAAGTAGGAGAAGACAGTGACTGGGCAGAAACTTGAAGAAATTAAATAACAACATTGTGCCAAAGTGGTGGTGATGGAACAAGAAAAAAAAGTGGCCAGAGGAGGTGTGAATGATTGAATAATGAACAGCTGCCAACCAAAACCAAACTATGAGAAACATGAAGTTAAGACTGAAATATGTAAAGAAATGGAACCAAAATGGGGGCAGAGTTTACGGTCTCAAATTGTCAAATTTAATGTTGAGTCAGAACATTGAAAGTTCTGACCCTAAAGATGAGCTGCTGTTCCTTGTAGACTGAGAACAGAAAGGTCAGCATGAGACCAAGATGAAGAATTAAAATGGTAAGTTACTGGAAGGGCATGGAATTGTTTGAAGAATGAATGGAGGTGTTGTGCAAAATGACCACCTAACCTGGGTTTGGCCTTGTGATGTAAAGCAATGCACATTGTGAACAATGAATTTATTTGCTGTTAACAATATTGTAAATGCCAAGAAGGTTTTAAATTAAATTTTGCCTTACAGAATGAGATAGGCAACCAGCGTCCCTACCTTTCTCCATGGAAACAGTGAGGTTCTTCAAAGTTTCCCGCTGGTGGTCAAGCTCCAGTTTCTGATCCTCAGTCTGATGCAATCTCCGCTGCAACACCTCTCTCACCTTTGTCAACTTAACGACATCATGACGCAACTGATTCACATCTTCCTCTTTGGACTAGATCAAAAAACAGCAGTGCAATTATTTGAACAGGCAGCTTGCAAAGAGGCAATATCGGAGTTTTACTCCATCCAGCTCAGTTTGTGTACTTCACTTTTTTCAATGACCAGAACATGGTGGTGGGAAATAATTCAGCCAAGCACTTGAAATGGCAAAGACATGGATGAGGGTTTCAGCAGTAGATGGGCTACAACAAGGCTGAAGCAGCTGAGGTTATGGTAGTGACAGTGGGAGATTCTTGTTTTGGAGAGTATTTGGGGGTTGGAAGTTCAGTTCGGGATTGAATTGGATGCTGAAATTATGAAAAGTCTAGCCCTTTCTGAGATAAGGAAAGATTTCAATTCTCAGCATTTTCATAACTTCAGAGCATCCCAAAGCACTTTGCAGCCAATTAAGTTTTTTTTGAAGTATAGTCACTGGTGCTATGTAGGAAACACAACTAATTGTCCACAGCAATGTGATAATGACCAGATAACTTGTTTTACTGATGTTAGCTTAAAGATAAGTATTTACCAAGAATCTGCTGGAAGAACTCTATTTGATCTTCTTCAAAATAATGTTGCGGAATCTTTCACAAGGATTCAATTTGACACAGAGCAGCGGTCCCTCAAAAAGACACTGGAGCATCAGCTGTCACTGTGTGCTCAGGTCCCTCGAATGGCTTGTGCATCCACAAACTACTGACTCAGAGGCAGGACAGGTTAACCACTGAGCCAAAGCTGAAGACAAGTGGCTATAATGGTAAGGGATAGCAATAGAATTGATGGCAAGTCACTGGGTGTGTGACAAAGGTCAAAGATAATGGCCACACTTTTCCGCGATTTAAATTGAGGTATCTGGTATTTAACCACAGCCATTGTTCATTTGTTTCTTTTTCTTGTGAATTAATTCTTGGAACAGGATGGTACTGGCCAGTCAGTCATAAATATCTATCCCAAAAGCTACTGAGAGCATTAAAGAATAGATATAATTAACAATTAAAGGTAATAGATTCCTTCCCTGAAGGGCACCGGGGACTCTACTGAGATTTTACAAGAGGTCAATAGCTTTCATGGCCATTTTCAACTGGTAATAACTTACATTTATAGAATTAAACTCTATAATGTGCTGTGGCGAGAATAGGTGTACCTGGGAAATTTTCCACATTACAGGGAAGATGTCAGTTTTGTAACTATACTGGAACAGCTTGGTTCAATGTATTGGATCAAATTTCTGAAGAAGGGTCTCGACCCGAAACGTCAGCCTTCCTGCTCCTCTGATGCTGCTTGGCCTGCTGTGTTCATCCAGCTCTACACCTTGTTATCTTTGGTTCAATGTATGGCTACTTCTGGAGCACATGTTTGTAGTGGTACAGCTAGGTTGTTATCAGGCTCAAAGCCTTAGCTGCATGTATACAGTTATTTGTTTCTTAATACTATGTGGAGTGAACCAAATTGGTTGAAAGCTGACAGCTGTGACAGTAGGAACTTCAGGATGAGTTATCCACTCAGCACTACTGGCTGAAGATGTTATTAACACTTTTGCAGGTCGTGTGCTCTGCTGTCATTGAGGATAAGGATGCTCATGGGATCTCTCCTCCCGTTAACAGTTTATATCCACTGCCATCAACTCCTCAGATACTGAAGCAGTCTATGTCCAAATGCAGTAAGACCTGGACAATACCCAGGCTTGGGCTGAAAGTTGGCAAGTAACATTCATCCCACACATACACCAGGCGATGATCATCTCCAACAAGAAAATCTAACATTGCCCCTTCACATTTGGTGGTGTTACCATTACTGAAGCCCCACTATCAAAACCACTGACCAGAATTTGAACTGGATTAGCATATAAATGCAATGGCTACAAGAGCAAGTCAAAAGCAGGAATCCTATAGTGAGTTACTCACCTCCTAACTCCCAACAACCTGTCTATTACCTGCATGGAACAAGTCAGGAGTGTGATGGAATACTCCTCCCTTACCTGGATGAGCGCAGCTCCAACAACACTCAAGAAGCTTAACACCATTCAGGTCAAAGTGCTCACTTGATTGGCACATATCCACAAACACTCCCACTCCCTCCCAACAGACTAGCAGCAGCAGTACGTACCATCTACAAAGTTTAGAAAAATCCCTACAGTGTGGAAACAGGCAATTTGGCCCAACAAGTCCATACCAATTCTACGAAGAGCATTCCACCCAGACTCACACCCCTACCCTAGCCCTGTAACCCTGCATTTCCCATACAAATCCCTGGACACTATGGGCAATTTAGCATGACCAATCCACCTAACCTGCACATCTTTGGACTGGGGGAGGAAACTGGAGCACCCAGAGGAAACCCATACAGACACAGGGAGAATGTGCAAAATGGACACTGCAATGCACTGCAGAAATTCATCAAGTTTCATAGACAGCAACTCCCATGACTACTACCATCTAGAAGCTCAAGGGCAGCAGATACGTGGGGACACAACCATCTGTAGGTTCCCCTCCAAGCCACTCATATCCTGACTTAGAAATATATCGCCATTCCTTCAATGTCGCCGAGTCAAAATCCTGCAAATTTCCTTTCTAATGGCATAACGGATCTACCAGCAAAATATGGGCTGCAGCGGTTCAAGAAGGCAGCTCATCACAACCTTCTCATGAGCCACTGGGATGGGCAATAAATGCTGGCCCCCACAATATCCACATTCCATAAGTTAATGGAGAAAAAAAATCACAAGACTACCAGAGCTTTGATCCGTTGGATGTCAGATTATTTAGCTATGTCTCTAGCGTGCTCCATCCACTGTTTAACATTCATATAGGCCGTTATTAGTACTTCACACCTCATTTTCACTTACCTATTGTGCACTGCTGACATACTCTTTTATTATCCTTATTGAACCAGGGTTTGTCACATCGCTTAATGACGATGGTAGACCAAGGTATATGCCAGACCATTATATTACAGATTTGTATTTCTAACTTCAGAAATGTGGTGTGTGTCCTTTAGACTCCCAATACAGACATGATAAAGCAACACATGCTGTATGATTCTAATTAAGAAAAAGGAAGTAAATCATACGTACTTTAAGATCTATCATTTTCTGTTGGTTTTCATGGGTCAGTTGGTCAGTGATTACAGCTTGTTGCTCATTCTCCTGCTGCAGCTTGATGACCTTGTGGTGAAGTAGCTCCAAATCCTTTGAAGCCCTTTCATTCAAAATCTATTAATGGAAAAAGAATACCAAATGATTGAAATGAAAAATAAATCATTTTGTTCATTCTGCATGTGAGATTTTAACTCCAGTTTGTTGTATTCCAAGACAAGTGACAACATTTCTTCATTAGTTGTCATGTCCTTTGGAACATCTGGGGGTTCTAAAAAGCTTGCTATAAATGAAAGTCTTTCTTTTCTTAAAAGTCAATTCCAAAGAAGTCTAGGTGATGAAGTGGGTTCAGTGCTGGCTTTCTGTTGTTCGGACCTAGGTTTCAATCCAGCCAAGACCATTGGGATAAAAGTCTTTTCTTGGGAAGGTCCTATGTAAAATGAGTCTGAATTTGTCCTCCAACTTCTGAGGTTCGTAGGACACAATTTCAATAATTTGCAATTCCATTTCAATTAAGGAACAGATATGATGGTAGAATTATCTTTTTTTCTAAAATCTGTGCTCTAACACTCTGAAAATATGCTCCTACATGTGTTATAGTGGAAGATATAATTCAGTGGAGAACACCTTTCTACAATATTAAGTGGAGGCATAGTGTCAGGGTAGAGCAAAATATGTTGTACTCTGAAATTCCCATTCCTAAATCTAACCTGGGAATGCTCAATACCGATTCTTGAATTCTGAAATGGACACTAAATCCTCTCGCCATGCAGAGACCAGCATTCACAAAATAAAATCTGAAATGAATCGACCTTTTTACATCTTTTGGTATTACTCATAGTCCACTGACAAAAGAAGGCCCTTTATAAAAAGAATCAAATTGACACTTGACTCATGAGTCTTGATTCAACAGTTTGGCCACTGATGTGGGGACAAATTTGTCTCCATTACTTTTTATTCAAAAATGAAGGAAAGAGGAAAAAAAGAATTGAAAATTGCCAAATATCACAACTACAAAGGCTGCAAAGAAATTAAAAGTGAAGACAAGAGGGAAAAGATAGGAAAAGCATAAGAGGCAGAAGAGAAAGAAGAGAAAAAAGATGGGTTAAGAGGATGGCATGAGTGAGAGAGATAAGACAAGAGAACAGAAAAGAGAAGTGAAAATAATGAAAAGCATTGAAGAATAGTCAGAATAAAGGAGAGGGAAAGGAAAAGAAGAAAAAAAAACTGTACCATGATGTAATCAAAGAGCGATGCATTTGTTGCCTTCTTAGATCATTGCAAAGTTGGGGTAGGTACATTTCTACTTGCATGTCAACCCTTGCGAGTGCAGATTTTAGTCACTGTAAATGCAGCTCTTCTCAATCGCTGTTTTGTAAATAGTGACTCAACAGGCCACATGGATTATATTTTGAATTTCAAAAGTTCATCTATTGGAAGTTTGTTCGCACCAGCCGTGTTTAGAATAATCCAATGACCAGAATTACTGATGTGAGACAATCCTTTACAGATGGTCTCACTAACAGGGCATTTCCTATTGTACTGCGTTGCTAGTGTTGGATCTCTGAAGACACTCTGCCTGTCTCAAAAGCACAACCTAAATGAATATCCTCGATTCATATCCTCTGCATTTCTGATTAGTTAATTTGAAGCTACTGCTGGGACACTGTGTTCTGGTTACCTTTTGTTCCTTGAGCTGCAGATCTAATTTCTGATAGTCATCTTTGGCCTTTTGTTGTTGAGCCACCAGTGATTTGATCTCAGATTGATTATCTTCCAGCTCTCCCTTCAAGCGGGTGAGTTCCTTCTGCAGCTTCTCCTTCCGCCGCATCTCACGGGCAATTTCATTCTCTCGCATTTGTATGTCATGTTCAAGCTGGAGTCAAAAAATTGATGTAGGGTAATGGGAATCAAACGAAACATGTGTTAGAGCTCTGTGGAAAACAATTTTTTTTATTCACTTGCTCAACAGAGGCTAAAGGATTGTCTTTTAAACTCACATAGTATTTCATATATATACTGATAATTGTTAATACCACAATTACAGACAATCTATTACACAATAATATAGTCTCTTTTTCAAAGCTGTAGATTTTTCAATACTTTTCTTTTAATAGAAGATTTCAGAATCTACAATTACTTATGTTTGATGAAATCACTTGACATCAGCAATTGTTTTTTTCTTTATTCATTCACGGGATGAGGGCATCGCTGGCTAGGCAGCATTAATTGCCCATCCCTAATTGCCCAGAGGGCAGTTAAGAGTCCACCACATTGTTGTGGGTCTATAGTCAGATGTAGGCCAGACCAGGTAAGGATGGCAGTTTCCTTCCCTAAAGGACATTAGTGAACCTGATGGGTTTTTCCGACCATCAGCAATGGATTCACAGACATCATTAGATTGTTAATTCCAGATATTTATTGAATTCAAATTCCAACATCTGCCCCAGTGGGATTAGAACCCTGGTCCCCAGAACACTTTCTGGGTCTCTGGATTGACAGTCCAGTGATAATACCACTAGGCCATTGCCTCCCAACCAGCTAGTCAGCAAACTGCAACTGACTTAGTATTTAGAAACTTAAGAACATTTCATTTTATAATTGCAGCCAACGTGCTCTAAAATTCTTTCAATTTCAACTTTACACAATCATTAGAAGGAAGCCATTTAGCCCACCATGCCGATACCAGATCTTGATACAAGCATCATTACTTAGTGCCAATCTGCTGCTTTCTCCCCACACCCTTGCACACTATTTTTATCCAATAGTGCGCTGTCATTGAAGGGAAAAATACATTAAAACAAGGCCTGTCTCATCTTTAATGCTTTAAACTGGAGGCCCAGTGTGACCAATCCATTCATTTTCAAGGTTGCCATTTATTTTTTGGTCATTTTTCCCTTTAGGGTAGTGTCTGAAAATGGAATAATCTCCACTGGAAACCTCCATGTTTATTAAAGTGCAAATTGATTTCAGGTCCAGATCCAGCTGAAATTGGATACTGCAGCCCCAATAACAATGCTGCATGTAAATATTTTAGGGCAAAATCTTCCCTTTTCCAGACTAAGTCTAACAAAGTGAGAGATCAGCAGGAGCAACCCATGCACCACTCAGCTCAGAAATCCCACTGGAGCTTCCAGCATTTAGGCAGCTAATTATTCACCTGTGGACCGTCGAATGGGATTAGGATCACCAACTGAGGAAAATCCTGCTTGCAAGGAGCTTTCAGCCAATCAGTCACAGAGCCAGCACAACACACCCCCAGATTCTCAGGATAGAAGCATAACTCAAAGAACAAGTGAGTGTTCCTCCAATCACCTGACAAACGGAGGAGTTCACTAGTACACTGTTAAGACTGTTAAGCAGAATTCTGTTCTATTGCACAGAAAATCAAAGGATTAAGTTGAAGGCATTTCTAAAAGCTCTCTGGTGACAGGTGAAACACTACCATATAATAACAGACCTGTGTTTTCTCTCAAAAATTAAACAAAGAACTCCAGATTCTACAAATCTGAAACAAAAACCGAAATTTCAGGAGAAACTCAGCAGGTCTGGCAGCATCTGTGGAGAGAAGGCAGAGTCATTGTTTTGGCTCCAGTCACTCTTCATCAAAACTGCTTTTTGGTGGCCAGACTATCCCCAAAAATGGAGATAGAGATGTCGGGGAAGGGAATGGAGAGTTAGAGATGGACCAGGTGAAGATGAGAGCAGGGTGGAAATTGGAAGCAAAATTGATAAATGTTCCCAATTCTAAAAGAGAGAGAGAAGCAGCAATGGTTATGTAACTGATGTAGTAGAGAAAGAGTTGTAGGTGGGGGCCCAAATAGCATTGAAACAAGGAATGTTCCGAATAGGCCACATAGAGGCAGGCATTACTGGGGTCCATGTGGGTACTCATGGCCACATCTTTGGTCTGAAGAAAGTGAGAGGAGTTAAAGGAGAGGGTGCTCAAAATGAGAATGAGCTCGGCCAGGCGAAGGAGGACAGTGGTGGTTGAGGTTGGTTCAGGCCTTCAAGTTCTGAAGAAGGATCACGGGACTGTAAACATTAACTCTGTTTTCTCTCCGCAGATACTGCCAGAGCTGCTGAGTTTCTCTGGCAATTTCTGTTTTTGTTTGTGTTCTTTTCTCAATAGAAGTTAAAAGAAGAAACAACTGAACTTCAGGCATAAAAATATCAAGGCTGGAAAGCTGAAACAAAAGAATCACAGACACATGCAATATCAAATCTGCCAAAGGCGAGAGATGGCAGAGAATGCAATCCATGTTTTGAATGCCTCGGATTGAAGATCATACGATCAAAGCTAATGGGTGTTGTTCTCTTCACTCTTAGAACATAAGAACTAGGAGCAGGAACAGGCAATTCAGCCCCATGAGCCTGGTCTGCCATTTAATAGGATCATGGCTGATCTCATCTCAGTCTAAACTCCATTTTGCTGCCTGCTGCCCATGGCCCTTCAATCCATTACTAATTAAAAATTTGCCTATATTCTCCTTAAATTTACACAGCGCATCCACTGTGCAGTCTGGTAAATTCCAGATTCATGACCCTTTGAGAGAAATAATTTTCCCTCATCTCAATTTTAAAGCTACCCGAGTCTAAAACTATGACCTCTCGTTCTAATTTGCCCCACACAAGGAAACATCCACTCTATGTCTACTTGATCAATCCTGTTAACATTTGGTAACAGATTAATAATATTACATTTGCCTATCAAGATTACCTAAAAATTATCAATTTTTCCAACCACCTCAACAGTGTATAAAAGTGGATCTACGCAACTATTAAATGTTGTATTATCTGTGATACTACTTATATTATTGACAGGAACACTAATAAAGGTATGTTATATCATAACAGGTCTCCCATCCATTTTGACTTAAAGCAGTTCAAAATTATAAATACATTGATACTTTTTTGGCTATGCTGTACCATGTAGATACAACCCCTAACGTGCTTTGATTTGTTGAACTTAATTGTGACAAGTACAGAATTAGACAATTATTCTGCCCAGGCAATTCTTTTGATCACATCATCCTCACTTCCTTTTGAAAATGAAAACAATTACAGAAACAGAAAATAGTCTCTATAAACATTTAATTTAAAATAGGTCCATTGATAGTGACTGTTTTAGGCTATTAATTGAACTTTGTTAAAGATTTGATTAACCCTCTGTGCTGAAATAACTCCACGAAGGCTGGTATCCCATCATCAAGTCACTCTTTATTTACACGTGCATAGTAAATGACACTGACCCAGCTAGCTCAGAGCCGCTCCTAGAGTGAACAGAATCTCTGACACTCCTGTTTATATCTGTCAGCCAGGATTCCCTGACAGGACCAAGTTAACAGCCACAATTGGGGATCTCACAGTCTATGAGGTCCATCCGGCTGACCTTGTTACAATCACTACATTAGCCAGATTTTGTTTTTGTTTTAAAAGGCTCTGTAGAAATTGCTCCTTCTCATCTCGCATTTCTTTTATTTCCAACCTTTTCCTTTGTATCCTCACTTGTAGCTTTCCAGTTCGCTCATTTTTTTTTAATCATTGTTAACTCTGTATCTTTCTCCATTTCCCTATCCATTTCAATACGTTTCAAACTATCTGTACAGCAACCTGTTTCTACCTGCAAGCCTTTTCTCAATCTCCATTCTGGACAACAATGAAACCTACAGATTAGGACACCTTATGACACTTTACGTGAGTCCCTTAATTGTACTCACTTTCAAAAAGACACAAAAGACCTTTCTTTTTATTCAGTGCCACAATGCACAAACCCACCTGGTTTACCAATGTGCAATTGAACTTGGTGCATTAAAGGATATCAGCGTTCAAAATTTGTAATTGTTCATGGATTTAAGGTGCCGCTTGTATCTACTATAATGTAAGCTACTTGGGACTATCAATAAGTCTCCATTTTTGGGACAGTCTGCCTGTATTGGTTTAACTGAGATATGTAACTGACCGGTCTATTAGTAGTTGTCTTATATGAAGAAAAGGGTGATCAAGACTTCCAAGTAGATATTAATTGTTGAATAGCTTTCGGCCATTCACACACAAATGGAGCTCCGCAGAAGAGAAAAAGGCCAAGAACAGAGATTACCCACCTGGGCCGTGTTCTGATCAGCCTCATCTTTAAGACGTTCATGCTCTTCCTCCTTGGCTACCATCTCCGTGACTTTCTCACGTAAGGTGACAACCTCTTTGAGTAGTTCATCTCTATCTTTGGTCAGCTGTTCTTGGATTTTTAGCATATCATTAACACTGTACAACACAATTCACAAAGGCATTATCTCAGTTTGGAGAGAAGAACATATTTCAGATTTGTTAAAGTTCTGAACTTAAATATTTTCTGAACTACCAGAATAGAATACCTGACTTCATTCAATCGAAATTAATAAACAGGTAATTTCCAGAGAGACATGTGTACAAATGTGAACTCCCAGCAGAGAGCCCAAAACTTCTACTCGAGAACTCATTGAAATTGCCTAGTGATCAGAAAACAGAGAGGAACCAGTCAGCAATTTACCAATGTGTTCTTGGTAAGCAAGGTTCTCTGCCAGGAGCCTGATTTTGGAAATTTAGTTCTTAGGTAGTACAGCTCAGAAAAAGACAACAATCTTTGGCGTGCGCATTAAACTAGCCTCTCCCATTCAGGCAATTTTATGGAACTGGGTAAAATAATGATTCATGGTCTGCTGATGTATTGGAGCATGGACCAAAGTACCTTGAAGAGATAAAATTCAGACTTAAACTCCAAACTTCACTACATTCTTGAATTCGCTAATTGGAAATTACCTGAACGCTTTGGCAAAAGATTTCCTCCTGTCTCACCACACTCCCACTACAACTCCAAACCCCACCCAGACACCCCCACCTCCACACCAACCCATGCAGGTCACTGGAAAGATGCCTGGGACCCAAAGGACAGTTGTCTCAGATGGATTGCTGTGGAAAAAAAACTGCACTATTAAAACCAGGGAGCTTCTCACACTGTGTTGAACCTTGAAGGTAGACAAAACTTGCAGAGAAACTGCAGCCAAATTTACTTCCAAGTCATCAGTTTGGAAGCTACATTGGCACGAGCTTGGTAACTGGCTTTGGCTATAGGTGATGTTGGAGAACAGTTTATATAAGGTTAAAATTAAAACTGTATATTTTAGGAAAATAATCAGAAAATGCTGGAAATATTTAACAATTATTGGGCAAGAAACATAGTTAATGCTCGAAGACATCAAACTTTCCACAGAACTGGAAAAATGCAAATAGGTTTTAAACAACTCAGAGGGGAAGAAGGGGGAAGGAACAAAAGGGAATATCTATGATAGGGCAGAGGACAGGCGAGATTAAATGCCAAAGGGATTGGTGGGGCAGGGAGTGCTAAAGGGAAAGATAAAGAAACAAAGATGGATGTAAAGGAGGGGTGAATGGCAGAATATTGAACAGCTGCCATTGTAAAGAAAAATAAAGTACATTTAGTGTCATCTTTTCCAACAGTTGATACCATGACAAACAACAAAATAGAACTCAAGACCCCATTCTGCGTCCAATTAAAATTATGTAATAGCTCTTGGGGATGACGAACAATACCCATGGCCTAACAGTATTATTAATACAATGACTAGATACACTGGCAACAATATCCTATTCTTCCTTCCTGGCTAATCCATTGAAATTTGCTGTAAAGATGTATTGACTATTGTCTGTACTTTCTCATGTTCTCGCAGTCTTAATGCACCACTATCCTTTTGTGATCTCTAAAATGTAGTGTTCAATTAATTTGCAGCAACCATCACAAGAAAGTTGAAATGACTTAGCTGACATGTTCCTCCCACACAGTTCAAGATTAGGAACATCTCAATGTTTTCAGCACAAAAGCAAGTTTCCAATAATTAGGTTAAATGGAGTTCTCACTTGAGTTGTGTCTCCAAATGATGCAAGCTCATGCACAGTGGTGTCTTTGAACCAGTTCTTGAAAGCATCACAGAATGCTTGAAAGCCAAACACAGCTTTCCATAGAATCACAGAATGATATAGTACAGAACACGGCTATTCAGTCCATCACACCTATACTGGTTACATGAAGGACCCAACCAATCAGTTTCACATCCCTTCAGTTTTCCTTTATCCCCATAGATTTCTTCCCTTCAAGCACAGTAGTTATCGACCGCCTTTTAAAAGTTTCTATTAGCTAGTGCCTACCCATAAGCACATTCCAAATCAAAACAATACGCTATATGCTTTATTTCCCTCCGACTACACCTAACTTAAATGTCTATCTCCAAAGGTAACAAAATAGAAGCAGTATATTAAAGTTGATGAATGCTATCGAAACTCATTCAATATTAATGCTCTTCCTGACCTACTGGCAAGTTATAACAGTTAATAAATAAGTCAGTATTCTCTAAAATCCAAAATCTTGACCTGTGCATTTTAGTTCTCGATTTTTCCTTGGCATTCCAGTTACAAGTATTTGTATTTTCTCCTGATTTCAAGATTTGTTTTTATCCTCACTGGTTCTTACTTGTTAAAAATAGTCATTTACTCTCATTGCTTAACTTTGACAGAGACTGTTGTCACTCCTTTCTCCTGCACCTCAAATTTTAGCATTATAAATTCGGTTTGAGGAAGTTTAAGACTTGAACAGCACTTCTGCACTTTGGCATACAAACCTTACAGTTATAAGTAACTATTATATATTGGATCATTTCCCAGCTTCAGGCATCAAAGTCAATTAAAATCAACCAGCTCCTACACACTCTTTGTCCTGATGCAATTACTGCCAGACAGCAGGCAGCAAAGGGATTCCAGTTGTTGCTTTGAGCTTGATAACACCTTCCAAACCCACAATCACTACCATCTAAAAGGACAGGAGTACCAGATACATGAGACACCTGCAAAATCACCTCCAAATTAGACACCATCCTGAGTTGGAACCACATCACTGTTCCTTCGTTGTCTTGGGATCAAAATACTGCAAGACTTTTCCTCACAGCATTGTGGCTTAACCTGCAACAGAGGGACTGCAGCAATTCAGGAAGGCAGATGCCTCCTATCTTTTCAACGTTAATTAGAATCCACTTCTAAGGCAGTGACTTTCTTTAGTGCTGGTTTTGGAATAAAGAGGAACAGTGCTTGCAAAAAATACCAAGTTCTGAAGAAAAAGTACTGAATATTGATGAAATATGCATTTAAAGTTTTAAAAAACATGATGTATTTGCGTAGAGATATGCAGCTTGAAAGGTCCAACCTAAAGCATGCAGTGCATATCAACATGTTATTAATTCACTTCAAATTTAGAGGAAGCACTACTCCATGGTAGTAACTACATTCCTTCATGAGATCTAACTAGAGGAGGCAATGGAAATGTTACAACTCACCTTAACACCCTTAGCTAGAATAGATTAAAAGAAACTAGCCAGAGTTCCCCTATTTGGTCAACATAAAGAAGTATCAGCCAGAAATTTAATTCTACTTGTGGTAATTCTCTGGATGCTTGGTGTGGTCAGTTTTTGTCTGCTGTTTGTGGTCAAGTTATCAGCCAACAGTCAGGGTAGACATTTCTGAGACAACCCATGAAAAGACTGGATAACTGAAGGTATCACGTCAGTAATTTTCCAGGCAAGTCATTCACTGCCAACAAGATGTTGTCTGTTATTAGTCTTTGGAAATGCAACCCAGAGTGGTCGCTCGGAGTTGGCTAGCTGGAACCAAGCAAGAAGAATTAATTCTCATTTTGGCTGATAGTGAAAAACAAGTAACACCTCTCCTGACTTTCCTTTTATCAACTTCAATGGAAGTGAAAGGCAAGGGAATGGATATGGGTGGCTGTTTCAATATCTCCCAGCTTTCACTATCACCTAAAGCCAAAGTTACCATCAGTAAGTCAAATGCAATTTCCATAGTCATCAAAGATGTCATTCGGACCGTGCACACTGTTTTTAGCCATACCTATACAACATAATTCTAATAAAGAAATTACAATGCAAAGGAAAAATAAGTCAATCAACAAACCTGCTCTCTTGGCCCAAAGAAAGTCCTGCGCCTTGCTCCACCAGCCTGGTTAGATTACTAATTTCCTGTTTTAGAGAGCGAATGGTTTCCTTTCCTCGCTTTTCCTGTTCAAGAGCTGAATCAACCATTTTCCATGCTTTTTCAATCTCCTATTTATTTTGATAAAACATGAAACAGAATTAGCTTAGCCATGTAGTCTTTGCAATGATCCATCATTTTGGAAAACAGCGGAAGCATCTTGGAGTGTATCAATATGACTACAAGAGCAATAGAATATGCATTACTTGGGTAATTTCCACTAGTTAAACATGTTTTTGAAAATTACACCCATTTGATAGTTTTAGCAAAATCGTAAATTTACACATCAGAAAATCAATTTCCAGAAAAAAGTGGAATTAAGAAAATGTTGCAGCTGTGATGGGAAGAGTGTATTGGAAATTTAGCCCCACTACTTCATGAATCATCACAAATGTTAAATACGACCAATTCAATCACCAGGATGGTTAATATCTGACTGTATGCATTACCTCAAATCTAAGAAACTCACACCAGGTTGTATCAACAAACAAAAAAACAAACATATATTTATTATAACAAAACTATCTTTTGACAAGTGACAAAATGGAATATTAATCACTAATATATAAGCTTAAACTATAACTCCATCCTTTAAATCAAAATGCAGGTACATTTATTCATAAATAGGATTGAAAGGACAGATAAGACAATCAGTATTGCAGAAATACCATAATGAAACATATAAGCAAAAGAGAACAAAATCTGTGAATCAAGAGACCAAATTAAAAGGATGGAATGAACATACTTTCTCATGGTTCTTTCATTTTTTTGGCAATGATCTCATGTTGTTGTTGACTGCAGCAATCCTCACTTCAGTACCTGGTCAATTGGACCTAGGATTTTTTGATTGAGTCTTTCCCATTGCAGAGTCTTTGAGTATAATTTCTTTTCCACATTCTGGGGGAGGGGGAGAGATCTGGTTTGTTTACAGGCCCTGAAGATCTGAGTGCTCTGCTCTCTATAAAATCATGAGGGGCATGTATAGGGTGAATAGACAAAGTCTTTTTTTCCCAGGGTAGGGGTGCCCAAAACTAGAGGGCATAGGTTTAAGGTGAGAGGGGAAAGATTTAAAAGGGACCTGCGGGGCAACATTCTCACACAGAGGCTGCTGCATGTATAGAATGAGCTGCCAGAGGAATTAGTAAAGATGGGTGCAATTACAACATTTAAAAGGCACTAGAATGGGTACATGAAGAGAAAGGGTTTAGAGGGATATGGGCTGAATGTGGCAAATGGGACTACTTCAGTTTAGGACATCTGGTTGGCATGGACAAGTTGGACCGAAGGGTCTGATTCCATGCTGTATGACTCTAAGACTATGACTTGCCACAGCAGGTTTACTCTTCACAATATCTAGAAATAAAAAGCTGTTATAGCCTTACACATGAGGTCATAAAAACCCAACTGATTAGGGAGGGAAGCCTGCTGTCCTTGTTCGAACTGGCCTACATGTGACTCAAGTCCCACAATAACAACAGACGACTCTTAGTGGCCCTCTGAAGTGGTCAAGCTAGCAAGCCACTTGTGCATTCAGGTCAGATCAGGATGAAGAATAAATTCCAGAACGGCCAGCAGCACCAACATCTTGAAGATGAAAAAAATTTCACCAACCTACTCAGACTTGCAAACAACAAGGGAAATACAAAATGTATTACAGATGGCAGCCCACACAAATGAGATAACAGGCTCCAACAGAAGAGATATTTGGAACAAAGTTGTCAGCTATCCACAACAGGTTTCGTCGAAATGACAGTTTGCAGCAGAAAACTTATACATCTTGTGATATTTGAGTTCAATGATGAACATATCTTCCTGAAACATGTCTGTGGCACTAAATCTCCAAGATATCTGATGTAGGAGCATTATTTACAGCTCTTTTAAGATTTTCATGAAGATCACATTTAGATTTTTAAAAATTGCTCCGCAGTGAAAGTCACCAATCACAACCATACAATAAATAAGGAGCAAGCAATGCACTAACCATGTCTTATAATCTAGGTTGAGGTACTCTAGTCACCAGGTACAATAAAATCAACAACGATATTAAGCACAAGGTCAAAAAGCTGGCTGGTTACAGTTTCCTCCTCTTCACCTCAAGAAGCTTAACTCCCCCAGCAAGTTATGTAAGAAATGTTTACGTTGTCACAGCAGGAGAGAATGGTCTCATGGCACAGCAAAGAAAGAATGATGCACATTTTGAGCTTTAGTTCTATATTTGCATTTTGTGATTTACCATAATGATACAGAATTCTCCAGTGATAGAAGACTATTATTTTTCAATGTTAAAAACGTTCAGACACAATTAAAAATAAAACAGAATGTTGGGGCACAAAGCCAAAGCTACACAGTGTAAGTGCACACAAGTTATCTAGAGACTGTGCAAGCACAACTCAGTCTACCCTTGGGAGAATTGTATGTAATTTTAGTCACAAAATACCAAAAAACAACCTCAGAGATAGTAGGAACTGCCGATGCTGGAGATTCTGAGATAACCTCCGGATTCAATGCATCATTCTCTACCATTTCTGCCACCTGCAATCTGACCCCACTACTAAGGATATATTTCCCTCCCCATCCTTATCTGCCTTCCATAGGGACCGCTCTCTCCGCGACTCCCTCGTCCGCTCCACATTCCCCACTAGCCCCACCACCCCCGGCACCTTTCCCTGCAACCACAGGAGGTGCTACACCTGCCCCTATGCCTACCCCCTCACCCCCACCCCAGGCCCCAAGAAAACCTTCCACATTAAACAGATGTTCACCTGCACATCTGCTAATGTGGTACACTATATCCGCTGTTCCAGATGTGGCCTCCTCTACATCGGGAACAACAAGCGGAGGCTTGGAGACCGCTTTGTAGAGCACCTACGCTCAGTTCGTGACAAACAACTGCACCTCCCAGTCGCAAACCACTTCAACTCCCCCGCCTCACTCCATGTCCATCCTGGGCCTCCTCCAGTGCCACAACGATGCCACCAGAAAACTGGAGGAACAGCACCTCATATTCCGCCTGGGAACCCTACAACCCAATGGTCTCAATGTGAACTTTACAAGCTTCAAAATCTCCCCTCCCCCGACCACATCCCAAGACCAGCCCTCCCTCTCGTCCCCACCCCATTGACCTGTCCGTCTTTTCTCCCACCTATCCGCTCCTCCCACCTCACTGACCAACCCCCACCCCCAGTTCCTACCTACACTCACCTCACCTCTACTCGCCTCATCCCCGCCTCCTTGACTTGTCTATCTTCCCTCCCACCTACCTACCCACCCCTCCCTCCTCACTGACAAACCCCTATCCCAACTCCCTACCTACACTCACATTTACTGGCTTCATCCCCGCCTCCTTGACCTGTCCATCTTCTCTCCACCTATCTGCTCCTCTATCCACCTTCTATCATTGCCTCCCCTCTCTCTATTTATTTCAGAGGCCCCTTCCCCTTCCCCATTTCTGAAGAAGGGTCCAGACCCGAAACGTCAGCTTTCCCTGCTCCGCTGATGCTGCCTGGCCTGCTCTGTTCTTCCAGCTCCACACCTTGTTATCCCAAAAAACAACCTAACTGATAGACAGATTTTTATTCAGTAATGTGTTGAAGGGTACTGGGGAGCAGGCAGGAAAGTGGGGTTGAGGCTGAGATGAGATCAGCTATGAATGTGTCAAATGGCAGAGCAGGCTCGAGGGTTTAAATTATCTACTCCTGCTCCTAGTTCTTATGTTCTTATGTTTTAAGGGCAACTGAAAATCTCACTGAGGCCTATAAAATATTCAATGATGTAGAGTAAGTGAATCCACAATATTACCTCAAGGTTCATAGGCTAGAGAACATACAAGAAAATTCACTAAAGTTTAATTTAAAGTATATTGTTGATTTTTAAAAATCCAATGAGAAATGAAAGTTTCACATAATCTAGTGGAGTTCAAAATGCAATTGGATGTTCATTGAATGAGTTGTAGGACTAGATGAATGAGCTTAATGCAGCTCATAGTTCTTGTCTCCTCAATGTTTTCTTATGTTTCTGAAAAAAAATTGAAGAAACTATGTTGTATTTGCTGATGAAACAAAAATATTCACAGGAGAAAAGAAGTTGTATTGAAGGAACATAAATCAAGTATATTAACAAAATAATCTAAGTTGAGAGAATGGGCCTATGTCCTTCACATGCATAAATGCATTTGGGAAGTAATGTTCACTCATCAGAGAAGGAGGATTCTGAAATATAAGAGGGATCTGTAGGACATAGTGGATAAACCATTCAGGATCATAAACAGTATTGTATGGTCATAAGAAAACAAGTAAAGCATTATGGTTTATTCCCTGCACTGTACAATATAAAACTAGGAATTCTATGCTTAGTTTATACTATATCTTTTCTTTTTAACTATGATATCGGGTTTTAGCTCTCAAAAGTAGGGCAGGAGATACTGAAACCCTGGAGAATGCTGACAAAAGGGGAAATAGGACAATGTCAAGCCTTAATAATCTTCATAATCAAAACAGGCTCAATAATATGGGACTATTTGCTATTGTCTTGGTGATACCCTTGACCACTCCTCAATCACCCAATATTTCAGCCCCTCTTCCCGTGCAATTGCAGGAAGCATGTTGCCTGCTCTTTTATCTTTTCTTTCTTCACTGGCTGAGACATTAAAAAGTCATTCCAGGTTATGGATTGATTTACGTGCAAATTTTTATATATTCATTCCTCACCATGCAGTCTCCTCTACATTGGACAGAGCAAATGCAGACTGGTAGAACACCTTCTTTCAGTTTCTAAGTATGACCCTGAGTTTCCAGTCGCTTGCCATTTTAATCCTTGCTCTCATGGTCATTCCTGTCAGCAATCTACTGCAATGTTACAATGAAGCCCAATGCAAGCTTGAGGAATAGAACCTCATTTTCTGATTAGTCACTCTGCATCCTTCCAGACTGAATATTGAGTTCAGCAATTTCAGGCCATGAAGTCTGCCCCTCTTTTTTGGTTCTGTTTTGTTCTTTCATGTACCAGTTTGGCTCTCATTTTCTATGTCTTCGCATCACACCGACAAACAATAAGGGATCCCATTGTATATCAG